AAAACCAAGCTGCTACTATGTTATTCTCAACTACCAAGTCTCTCGCTATTAAGAAAAACAGCACTATGTCAAAGCAAATCCACCGAAGAAACAAGCCAATTCATACAAATAAAATATGAATTGCCATGATTTTTAAGATAAAGCATAGAAACACAGCCTTCCCCAAACTGATAAACACTAGAGGATAGTGCTATAATCATTCTTCCAGAAATAATTCCTATCTTTACTGCAACCAAAGCAATGGAAAGTGTGTGTAAGTACTTGTTCTTGTAAAGTTTCCCAGATAACTGGAATTTCCTGCACAAGACTTCCATATTTCCCAACCTTTCAGGACATCTTTGGCCACCAAAATTTAAGTTTCTGATACTTACATATTGTAGCTGATCAGCCAAGTTGCTATTTGCAGCTTAATAGACCTGATCCTGTATTATTTCTATCAACTTCCAAAATAATCATCAGGGCATCTTAAATTCTTATTCAGGGTATTAAGTAATCTCTAGCTCTTAACAAAGAGATATTTTCAATTTGTTTTACAGCACTTGTGTAACATTCAAGGTACACTGAGGTTCAGCATCTCTTTGAAAGACAGTTAGTTAGCTGTATTCAGACATATTTTAATGCTGCTTTATCTAAGCTCTGTGAAATTTCCACTTGAAGGAAAACCTGAATGTTTCAATTTCCAAACAGGAAAAACCCATTGCTATATTGGTGCTTTCTGCAAAAGGGGTTTTTTTTCATCTGACCTAGTCTCCTCTTCTATGACCACTCAAGTTTTCTTCTTCCTCTTCCACCTAATCTACTCAGCTTTCTTAGGTCACATCACATCTCTTCAGTAACAAGCTCCAGGAATTTTTTGCACTGTTGTTATAGCTTTTAAACACAAATATATTATTTGATAATTTCTAAAGCTTTCCACGTGGCAAAACATGCATAAGCTACCCAAGAGATATCAACATACCAATGCTTAAAAAAAAAAAAACAACATGCTGGCCTTTATATCCATTTGTGAAATAGCCCTTCCTCACAGACCACCACAAGCCTCCAGAAAACAGTTTGCAAGGAATTTTGTCTCCCTGCAGAGTGCTAGGTCCTGAGAACTGACTATAAAGCTTTTTAACTGGACAGGCTGAAATATGAGTATCCTGCAAGCCTCGAAATAAATAACTGACTCTATGGAAAGCATTCAGGTTGAGACATGTATGCGATAGGTAAATCACAGGAATTTATTCAGACTAACAGCCTTTATTTTGTTTCAGTCTAGGCACTACCCTTGTTAACTAGGCTGCTTCATGCTGGTGTGGTCTACAGTTGAGCTCTGTTAATTGAGTCAGGTATGAAACAGTGCAACCTTTTACCAGAAGAGTAGCACTGAGGAACCTCCAGCACGGGTAAAGTTATGTTTGGTGATTCATTGCAGCCTGCTCGTCGCACTTAAATTGAGTGATAGGCATGGCAAGGTTTGCCTCTCTGCTTGGCAGAGGATGAAGATGTGAGTTTTCCAAAGCTTTGGCATCAGCTCTCACTACAAAGGCTGCTCAGTTTGTTTCCAAACAAGTGACTTTTTGTCAAAAGTTGTGAAGATGCTTCACTTGGAACGCTATCAGGTAGAACCAAAAATGTATGTTCTGTAACTGATATACAAGGCAAATGCCCAAGGGATGGGATATCAGCTCTGAGCCCCAGCTCTTCACCTGATTCTCAAATGTCTACCATGGAGAGGAGGGAAACAGCAAAAAATAAGAGCAAAGCAAAACCCAACCACATTCTCAACAGCAGAAGCAGAAGAGAAGAAACTTTGATGGAGAGGGTCCCCAGACACCCAGCTAAAAAGTGCTGTTTTACTTTTAAAACCAGGCATCTTGACAAAACTGGAAAGGCTTTGCTTGTTATTTAATGCAGAATGAAAAGAAGTATCAAAGCCCCAGATAGTAGCCTCAGACAGACACTGGCATCCTCCAGCCAGTGCTATTAGCTCTCTATTTTGCTGTTCCAAAAAACACATCCAGAAATATGTACGTAGGTGCTGCTCCTCCTTCCAACACAATCTGAGGATAATAGAGAATAAAACCAGGAAAGGGCTTTCTGCAAGATTGTGTTCTCTCTTGGGTGAATTGACCCCAACCATTGCTTTAAAGACCATAAACAGACTTCACAGATGATCAGGGAAAACACAAGTCACCATTAAAAAAAAAGACTATGGTCCACAGTGTGCTGCTCAAACGGTAAGGAGCATTTGTACATTAGGAGCAATGCTCATTAGGAGCATTGGTAAGGAGGTGTAAGGGATTTCCTCATTACAGTGTAGTATTTGTGGAGTGGTAATGCACTCTAAACACAGTGTTAAAATTACTGGAGCTCCACAGGCATTCTTGGCATTCTAAGGATTTGGCTGGGAAAGTCAGAGTGGAATCACGTACAAGATAAATTGTAAGTAACTTTTAACAATAGGCAGAAAAGATCATTAAGAAAAAAAATAAATCAAATGGTGACAGAGCAATCAAACAGCACCAGTATTGGAGTTTTACAACAAAGTAATTAATGAGGCCTTCAGGGAAGCAGATGTACATTAGAAAAACAGACTACACATTTCCCTAAGCCGGTCACTGTATGAAGGAATAGGATCAGCTGGTCAAAATTGTTCTGGATAAAGTAATGCTGCCTTTATGCAAAAAGGATCCAGGTCAGTGCATTACATTTTCAAAACTCAAGACCAAAAAAAGGAACCTAAAAGATATAGACTAAGACTGCAAAAAACTAGACTACATTAAAAGAGAAGGGACTGAACGACTTACAAGCCTACTGCAGAAGTCACATCCTGGCATCATGGTTAATCAAAACCCATGGTAAGTGGGAAGGAAAACAAACAAAGTCCCTCAAATTCTGCTTTTGTTGATAAACTCTTATACAACAAACTTACATTCACTGCTAAACTCTGCTCATCTGATTTACCCCCTCTGCCCT